AACAGACCTCGTATACCCATATTTTTCAAGATGTATCAATTAATCATGTTTGAATACATACTTTTACGTTAACAATATTACCATTGAGTAGAGTTACAAGTTTTAGAACGAGCGATTGGAGGACATCGATTAATTTACTTTACTTACTACGTAATGAAATTAACCACTTGAGATATACAGGGCGTCCAGAAGTTAACGTACTTAACTTTTAGGATCGATTTTTTTGGCCAAAAATATGACTATTTTTTCCTATACACATATGCCCGAAAACGCTTCATAAGAGAGCTATGCGCTTCCAAAGTTGCAATTTTTTTTCTTTCAAATTGATGTAGCTCCTCGTTATTTTGTCGTAAGTAGCTGAGACTTGGTGTAGGGCGATATTTTTTAGCGTACGGGTTATTTTTTGTGTTTTCAAGCACGTACGTCTTCAGGAAATTACGTAAAGAGCATTCCCAAATTTTAAAATTGAGATAACTTTTTAGTAGATTTTATTTGTAAAAAACGGATTAGACTACGTGAAAGAGCGCGAAAACTCAGGGCCTGATAGAACTGCACAAAATTTTCCAGAAACGCGTCATCTCGACGCAACAGAGTTTCGAAAAAGTTTCAGATTTTCGAAGCCCCTTGCTGAGTAGGCAATTTTTAATGCAGGGACTGTAAGAAAATTGCCTACGGAGCAAGGGGCTTCAAAACTTTGAAGGATGAATCCGTCCTTAGGGATTTTCGAAGCCCCTTGCTCCGTAGGCCATTTTCTTACAGTCCCTGCAGTAAAATTGCCTACTCAGCAAGGAACTTCAAAAATCTGAAACTTTTTCAAAACTCTGTTCCGTCGAAATGACGCGTTTCTGGAAAATTTTGTGCAGTACTTACAGGCCTCGATTTTTCGCGCTCTTTCACGTGGTGTAATCCGTTTTTCCAAATAAAATCTACTAAAAAAGTTATCGCAATTTTAAAATTTGGGAATGCTCTTTACGTCATTTCCTGAAGACATACGTCCTTGAAAACACAAAAAATGAACCGTGCGCTAAAAAATATCGCCCTCACCAAGTTTCAGCTACTTACGACAAAATAATGAGGAGTTACATCAATTTTAAAGAAAAAATGGCAACTTTGGAAGCTTATAGCTCACTAATGAAGCGTTTTCGGGCATATGTGTATAGGAAAAAATAGCCATATTTTGAGCCGAAAAATCGATCCTGAAAGTTACGTACGTTAACTTCCGGACACCTTGTAGAATACGAGCCAATATAGGTACGCGCAGTTGAACGTGAAATTCCTGTTGTTGAGAAATAGGTATACATTCTGGCAAAAAATCATAAAGATACAATTTTAATTTATCTATACTCTGTCTTCCTCTGTTAAAAGCTGTATTATACGATTTAAATTGGTCATAATTTTCATCAGCCCTGACTTTAAATAATAAGTACATATATTTTTGAAAAATACAGAGAAAATGCAATGTAGGTAAAGGGGGAATGAGAAGTGGAAAGCAATTAATTGAAGGCGAGAGCATGCTAGAAGTGGTAAGAAACGTAGAACCGCTACAAAAGAAAAAAAAATATGGACAAAAAAGTGATATTTGATATCAAATAAAAAGATTCAGTGCAACAACTTCCAAGGGCCACATCCTCCTTCTAACCACAGTTTTCGAAATATTGAATTCTCGTTCGACATTTTTAATCAGCAAATAAACTTTAAGCTCAACCATTCCAAACTACATATCGACGGTGAAACTACCAGACCACGTATCTCGTTTGCGGTGTTTAAAAATCTCCACCCACATTTTATTTTTTTGGTGGAGATCAAATCAATATCATTCTTTACAATTTTCATAGATTTTTCTCCGCACAAAGAGGAAAAATCACGGAAGTTTTCACGAATTGACGTTGAGTAGTTTTCTATTTAAAAAATAAAGTATGGCAGGAAGTTTGCGACGTCGCAAACCGAGATATGTGGTTTGGTAGTTTCACCGTCGATATATGTTATCATTGAAAAATCGAACAATAAAAACTTGTAAACAACAAGGTCGTTAAATATTAAACTCTGAAGTATCATCGATTTATTTGAACGGAACAACTGGTTCGCAGAAAGAGATGAAATTTTCATCGTAAGAAGTTTTTACATTAGATCTTTGAACATGAGTTGCTAGAAAAATAGCCTGAAAAAGGAGGATATATACCTTGAAAAGCCTAGAAGTACTAGTTTTTTAAAGGGGTGTTAGCGTGGCTTGTAGTTTGGAGGAAAAAAAAATTCACCGAAACTACCAACCTCTGACTAGAGTACTGCGATAAGATTATCGCGTAATACTACCAATAAAAATTGAAGACTCATACATAATTTATAGAGGGACGGCTAAATAATCACTCTCCGAGACGCGGTCAACAGATATAAAATAAATAATGGATCTCTAATGTATAGGGAGTCCCAGAACGCCCGTTCCAGGTTTTTATTTTCGTTATTTTAGGTCGAACGAAGTCTAGGACCGCGGAAACCAATAGGGAATCGACCCCCAAATAATCCGAATTTCATCATCTCAAAGGCCTCCCCCGTGTCCCCAAAGGCTTGAAAGAGGGGCCCTGACTTCAAAAAGCGGGGCTTTTGTCAAAATTTTGAAATCAGGAATCAGAATTTACGGGAAATTTTAACCAAAATCGAACACAAAAAGTAAAAAAATCGGCGCATTCTTTACGAAAATACCCAGGTATCCCTACAGTTAAGGGACAAAGACCCCCTCGATAAATGCGAGGTTGCTAAATTGACCGGAGGGGGGGGGTGACTCCGGGAAAACGGTGTTTCCACCGGTAACCTACCTCAAGGAGTGCGGATTTGACGGGTCTAAATTCTCCAAGGGATTAGCTAATGGAATGGGAGGGGGGGGGTACACTCAAAAATTCAACGTGTCCGGGACCCTCCTCTACCCGATCAGCGAAGCATCGGGGCGTTCTAGGACCATCCAATTTGAATTTCTTTGGGGTCGACTAAGTAGGAGGACATTTTTTCCGTGGACGTCTCAGTCAATTTAGCGACTTATTATCATGGGGGGGGNGGGGGGGGGGGGGGGGGAGCTCCGGAGCTCCCTTCCTTTACCGTCGTAGGGGTCCGTATTTTCTTCAGGAATGGGTTGGTTTTGGACTTCTTTTGTTTGATTTCGATTCAAATTGTCCGTAATTTCTGAATCCTGTTATCTAAGTTTTGACGGGATCTCCCTTTTAGCCCCTAGAGGACCCTGGGGGATCTTCGAGGTGATGAAATTTGGATTCCACGGAGGTCAGTTTGCTATTCGACCCCTAAGTCCTAGACTTCCAGAGACCTAAAATAACCGAGAAAAAAGTCTGGCATGGCAGGTCTGGGCCGCTCTGTAAAATCCAGAACACACTTTGGATAGGGTATATAGTCACTTCAAAATCGATCCAATTTTACAAGAAATTATCAAAACTGGCACATATATGCACACACACACACACACACACACATATATATATATGTGTGTGTGTGTGTGTGTGTGTGTGTGTCTGTGTGTGTGTGTGTGTGTGTGTGAGGGTGTGTGTGTGTGTGTGAACTGAATGCTTGATGTTTAATATTGACCGAAATGTTGAGTTAATCATGTTCAATTTCCAGTTTACTCAACCGAATATTCGGTTCGTAAAACTAAACATTCGTTCACATAATCGAACCTCTTTCTTCCGCTCCGTTCAATATGGAAATTTGATCACAGAGACGGTGAGCGTTCGGTTACGCCGACCGAAAGTTCGGTTTGACTAACTGAATACTTTGATCAATTTTGAACATTGTACAATTGTACATTCCGTTCGCATGACTGAACTTCTTTTTAAGCGTGCCAATAGGGCTCGCTTTTTTTTTCTTCTAATTAATCTTGTCAAGATTCATCAGTCCTCATTTACAGGTATCATTCTCTGAGCTCGTCCCTACTTTAACGTTTCTTATAATATCGAGGAGGATCAAAAGCACTTAAATCAATTGTGATGTTCTCCACACGTTTAACTGTGCATGGGCAAAAAAAAAAAATAAATTAAATAGTATAAAGGGCGTCCCAAAAGTCACTTCCATCCCCTCTAAAATTTTACCTAATTAATATTTTGAAACGAACCCTTGGGGATGTTCATAAATCAATGGTAGCTATTTCAAGGCCCCTCAAATTTTCGCCCCCCCCCCTCCCCCACGAGGAGGGGCTATGGACACCATCATTTTTTTTTCAAATGGCAAGCCCCCCCCCTTCGTGACACATTAATCAAACGAAAATAAAAAAAGAAATTTTTTAGCGCAAACCGCAAGTCAAAATCTCGATGTTTGACAAAATGGCAGCCGGTCATAGTTCAAAATAATGGATATTTGACATCTCCATGTTTGTTGATGGATTGTAATGAGGCTTGGCAACTGGGTTTAATTCGCACGAGAAAAACGATTCTGGCAATAGTTTTCCGGTAAATTCTGTCCTTTCATAATGGCAGCGGTCAAAATGGCGACCTAGAGCGGTAACAGAATATTCAGGCTGTACATAAGTAGATTTGCATGAAACATGGTACTCGGGGGTACTTCGGCACGAGAAAAACGAATCTTACATTAGCATTTTGAAATTCTGAATAGCTTCAAAATGGACAGAATTTTCCGGAAAACTATTAGCAGAATCGTTTTTCTTGTGCCAAAAGACCCTCGGTTGCCGAATCTCATCACAATCCATCAACAAACATGGAGATGACAAACTTCCATTATTTTGAACTATGACCGACCGCCATTTTATCAAACATCAAGACTTTGACTTGTGGTTTGCGCCAGAAAGATTTTTTCATTTCTTTTGATTGATGTGTCACGAAGAAGGGGGGGGGGGTTGGCATTTGAAAAAAAAGTCGCGGTCTTTAGCCCCTCTCCGCGGGGAGGCTCCAAAAGCAGCTACCATTGATCTATGAACATCTCCAAAGTTTCCTTTCAAAATATGAATTAGGTAGAATTTTCGGGAGGCGGAAGGGTCTTTTGGGACACCCTGTATGTAGGTACGCAACTTTCCCTCTGAAAATTCAACCACTGCACGGATTCGTTCATGAAGGTGTAATATTTATGGGTGATTTTGGATAAATACAATTGAAGGAGTGAAATTCAGGAGGACCTGATTGCCTTGCAAAATTTTACCTCACAACTTACTACTTTATTCATTAAAAAATGTACATTTTGCAGAGAATATTTCAGGAAATTTTCGTTAAAACAGAAAAATCTTTCGATACTGAAACTTTGTGACGTTTTAATGCAATAAAGCCCATCTGGCTCTTACTCCTTCATTTACCTATGAATCAAAATCAAAATCAAATTGTGCAATTGTAAAAATGCTGCGATCGATTTGCGCACTTTTGATCCCACATGCTTCGTTTTAAAAATTATCATTTACAAAATTCTAGATAAATATGAACAAATAATAGTCATTTCACAAAAAGAGACACGAGGTTTACGAACGTTGACTCATTGATAGAGACTACTTTATCTCAGGGTTCCAAAACAGCTCTTCTCCCGTCCAGATTTTGTATATACAAGTGTATTTTCCATGATGGTTGATGGAGAATGAACGTTTCACTTATTTTTGTCCTCTGTGGTACGAACTTCCCTTTTTTTGTTGTAAGTTTTAGCGTAAAAGTTGAGGAAGAGAATGAGGAATATGAAGGCGTTTACTGAGGCGTATAAAGCATATGAGAGTAGAATTTTGCAGTTGAACCACAATAAAACACTCACAAAAGTGATAATCATTACGAATTGAGTCTGAAAAAAAAAGGAAGAAGTGATTAATATAGTCTCTGGCAAATCATGAAAATAGAGGAGGACGACTGACCATCTGCACGAGGATATGAAGATCATCAAGCCCATGAAAGAATGGAGAAAAAGAATAATACTTTATTTGGTTCCAAACACGGCCGACGAGCATTTTATAGTCTTATAGTCCAAACATTTATACTCTCAATCAAACTCATTGCTAAATCCCAGGAAAATTGAGTTTTTCAAAAATTATTTAAAGAGTATCAATACATTCTCTAGCTCAAGAATGAAGAAACGGCCTTTGTATTGCCTAGTACCTACCTAATCATCATTTCTCTGAAGAAAATATTATATTGCTTGAATATATATTTTCCCGCAAAAAAACTCAATTTTCCAGAAAACTGGCAAGTAAGTACTGGAAAAAAAACTGAGATCATTTTCGGATTCAGCAGCCAAAAATTACTCAAAAAGGCCTGAGATGCAAAAAGCGCAAAAAATCTTTACATATCCTGTTAGAAGAACATATGAGCTACATTCTTGCACCGATAAGAACGCGTCAGCTCTGACTAGTGATAACGAAAAGTTAAAGCGAAGGCCATTTTTTGCCTGATTTAGGACAAAACTTTGGAGTCTCATGGTGGTTATACAATTAATCTTAATACTAAAAAAGATTAAAGCATCAAAGGGCGCTTACTTTGTGCTTTCTGTTCCATATATTTGATCGAGGATATATGCCGACTTTCAAAAAAACAGCGCAAGTTAATATGTGATGGCGCGTGCATCTCGAATTCTCTTATTTTTTTCATTAACCTCATAGAGCAAGTGAAATTTGCCACCATACGTCTGATCTTTAAAAAACTCATATAAAATTTGATCCGTCATTTCACAACTGCCAAGGGATGTAGATAAGAGCTGTATGCTGGGGTGCCAGTTTTTTGCACTTTCAAAACGCGGATTTTGGGCCACGATTTGGCGCTCCCGGACCATAGTGCACAGTGTGGACTTGAAATGATACGTGCCTTTGATGAAGTGCTTTTACTCCTCTCTCTAATTTTAAATGTAGTCTAAGATCTCTTGGAGACTTTAAGACATTATACAAGTGGTGCTTGGCAATTTTCAAAAAATTAAGGGCATTTGCTCAAAATTTACAGTCATTCCAAAGCAGCTCATGAGCTCGTGATAGAAACTTGGATAATGTGGCCAATTTCTTATTTTAGCCCCATAGCGTACTTCAATATCATTTGGTTTGCTTAAGAGGGCCATAAATCGATGGTGAAACTGCAAAAGTGCGCATCTCGATGTTTGACAGTTTTGAGTTAGCTGCAGAAACTTGTTTATGACGATGTTTTCTATCTACCATGAAGCTACTCGAAAGCTAGCTAGTACTGAAAATGCGGATCTCGGTATTTCTCCCGTTATTATTATACAGTTCGAAAAATTATTCAAACTGCTTATGGTGTACGAAAAAAACATCTTATATTTGCTGTCCTCAAGAATTATTTCCCCTCTTATGACAATGAGGATAAAGGTACATAAACGCATTTTTTTGCTCTCTGAAAATTATTTTTTATTTACTTAATTGATTTACCTATATTCATTATGTTTCATGATGACAGTTAATACTTCCTCTACCTGCAAGAAAAGCCAGAAAGTTTAAAATTAACACAAAAGCTGGACGAATCATTGCTCCGTGGAAAGTACTCATGACCATCGTTGACCTTAATTCTGATGATCCCCCCCCCCCTTCGCCACCGTCATCTTCCTTGTGAGATTTGATCGCACATTGAAGTAATAAAAAGTGGACACTGACGCCGGTTCAGAGTGTGTGACGAATCTTCATGGTGCCCGCGTTGCCGAGCAAATTCCGAAATATATCTTTCGAGAGGGACATCATAATGAAAAACCTAAACTTACAATTTGAAGTTTAGTGATGTACTTCTTCCACCAAAGGTATTTTTGAACGGACGGTCCCAAAGCTGACAAGAAGTAATACGAGTACATGACGACATGGACGAAAGCGTTCAAAACTCCGATGAACACCGCTTGTTCACCTAGAATACAAGACACCAATTAGTTTATTTTCCTTGTTAATGCATATCAATCAACGTAAAATATGTGTGATGTTCAACGGTCATGCCAAAGCAATGTTCTAAAATTGAAGCAAATCATGCGTCGACTGAAGTGAACTCTTTTTGGGAATTTGAGATCTGAGCAATTTTTAAAATTTTTGCCTCAGTGTAAACTTTGTAAAATGAAATAAAATGGAATTTCCCTTATCATCAAATAAATTGGGGTACCTAGTACTGGTAGTACCGCACAAGTTTAGGGGATACCTATCCCTTAACACTTTTTTTTCACGTGTACCTGTCGCCGCATTCAACTCGGTCTAGCTTTTGTGAGGGGGATTTCGTCAGTTAAAGTGGGTATAGATTGCATTCGAGTTAACGACTGGCATCATTACCAGATTTTTGATCGGCCAGACCATGGACTAGCTACCCCGGATTTTACGGACTAGGCAAGCACATCAGCCAGTTAGCGAACTGGACAACGGAGATGGCTAGTCTGCGGACGGAGCAAAAACGTTTCCTAATTCATGGCATGGGAAATTTTGCCAAAGGTGTAAAACTCACCCTAAAAAAAAACCCATCAGAAATGTAGAGGCTTTTTATTTAACAGAATTCTTCCGAATCGCCGTGTTTCACAAATATGTTAAGTATACCGTTTTTACCACAAGATTGTTATTTCAACGGAGATATTTGCTGCACATTACCTACAGAAAAGAAATTTACCGCAGAATTACAATGGCATTACTTAAAAATGATGATTTTACCTACAGTTACCTAATTGACCTTTTCAATAGAATTTTGATTAATTTGTAAAATTTCATTCCCTCTATGAAGAATCACATATCATGGATTCCGTAATTAAGCTTATAACCGTCTGAGAACGTAAAGCAATTTTACAGTAGATTTTTACAAAGTTTCAAACCGTGAAGAATGAAAACCAGGGGATTTTTTGTAGAATAGGCTCACCACGGCATTTTTTTTCGAACAACTTTTGAGACACCCGGAGGGAGGGTCGGAGGGTGCTCTGATTTCTGTCTCTACCTGCTGTTTGTTTTCAGCTGGTGAGCTGAGAGCGAGTGGGTGGCCGGTTTTTGAATGAGATTAGGGAATGGTAAAAACTCTGTACTTCAAAAGATAACAAATATTTTGAGGTTCGAGCCTGAAAGAATATCTGCTCGTTTTTTCCCTCGGCATCTTCTCGTAGGAAACAAATCCGACAATGTTTCCTTATATTAGCGACTCAGGCAACTAAACGCCTGATTCTTCAAAGGTTCCCGTGCTTCAAGGGTAAGCTGGTTGCGTCAGAGAATAACTGAAAGAACCTTTCAGCAGAATTACCTAACTGCCACTTTCCTCGTTCCCAAGTAGCATTTTCCAAAGTTAAAGTTGCAAGAAGTTGAAACAATATTGGCTAAAAGTCGCAACTAAGTTGCAACTTAGTTGCAACTCTCAGTCAACATTTGGTCGATAGTGCTAATTTTCGGCGATCTGATCGGAAGAAAAGTCGCAACTTATGGCAATTGAATTGCATGAATCTTGCAACTTATCGACGTTGCCAAAATCATCCCTGCTAAAAATGACCATGTTGGTAACAGTTGATCTGGCCCAACATGGTAGCAACAGGGTGAATGGAACCTGTTTTCATATATGATATCAACATGTTATCACTATGATGTCAACATGTTACCAATATGATATCACACACTAAAAAAAAAAAACTTCCAAAATGCCAAAATGCTTAAATTTAGGCGCGCTCAACGTTCTTAGGCATAATTTTCATCGTGGACACCAGATAAGTGCCGCTGCGAGAACCCGACAATCAATGTTCGCCAGAATTAATCCACGCTGCGCCCGAGTTCCCTAGCTAGCAGCGGTCACCCATCGAAGTACTAACTACGCCCGATATTTCTGAACTTTGGTGATTGCCCGCACGGAGAAAAGAGACTAGTGGCCGCAACCAGGAAAAGGGCTATGTTTACCAACCCGCCTATTTCGTTTCCGTCATAGCTCAACTCCTGTTTGATCCGAACAAAGCGGGTTGGTAAGTACGGCTAACGGTGTCACGGGCGGGCGGGTTGCCTCCTCCGACTACGCGGGTTGGTAAATCTTGCCAAGGATTAAGGGTTTACTCATTACTCGTATTGTTATGTAAGAATATACGCCTGGTAGGCTTTATTGAATGCCTGGTTTACAGAATGAATCGAGATTGTTCCAGCTCCAATCTGGCGGCACACAAAAACCGGGGCATGTAACAGAAGGTGTTGGAAAAGAGCCCCTTTTCCCCCGAATAAAATGATTAAGCACGATGAAACTCGCCGAAACCGTGAAAAATGAAAAAGATTAATCTCTCGGAGGCTAATCCAGTGTAATTTGGCGATAGAATTTTTTCACCTCTGTCGGGGTTCGATCCTACAACCTACCTAACACTAGCCGAGAATCCTAACCATTAAGCTAAACCGAGCGATAATTACCGCGACGAAAAATCGGCATATAACTTCGATTTTAACGAAAAACTAGAATTTCTGCAACCAACTAAGATTTTTCCGCGACAATGTACAATATATTATGAGATACATACCAATTTACTTGCAATTTTTTCGTAAGGCCTAAATTTCATATAATTTTGTTATTTATTAGGTACTTTCTTTAAATTTATTTTTATTTTACCTAATTAATTACTTTTTTTACTTAATACTTTACTGCTTGCTATTTTTAATTCATCTAGCTCATTTACGCAGGTACTTTATTTTCTTTGTTATTTAATTAAATCTTTAAGAACCCAATGGATAGAGCCTGATCGATTTCTGAACTAACACTTGACTTTCACTAGTTTTCACTGGAAAAGTAAACAGCTGACTGCCGGCTCCAAAAACATGCTCTCGTCATTACATATTACCAATATTAGCTAATCCACACGCCAAATATATAGACGTCAGAATTAATATCTCGAATTTGATTCTCCCACCACACTTTTTAGAAATGCAACCTATTTCATAGTACGCATTACCTTCAAATAAGTGTATGTTGAAAGTTCCAGATTGGTCGTAAAATACAACTTAGTGCTGTCTTTGTCTACCAGATTTCAAGGTAAGCAAACCTGACGTGGTGGACAATGCAACTATTCTGGGTTGGTAAATCTGAGAGCGAAGGAGTTGGGTTTCTGTGACTAGTCGGTATGTCAAGTGGTATCACGGTCCCAGTTAGGAGCACTAGATCATCATTTACCAACTCGTGTTAGCATAGGCCGCTAACTCAGTGAGTGATAGTTTCTAATTTTTCTGTTGCGTGAAACTAAATCCTGTTTTACCAACCACGAATAGTCACAGCCACTAATCTTTTTTCTCCGTGCGAGTGTCGCCGCCACTCCGCCACGGACGCTCTTGTGAGGGAGGTGGCTAATTTAGCACTAATAAACGTCCGCAGATCTGGTTCAATGATTAGGAGCAATGACATTCTTGCAATTTTGTGCATCATTCAGTTTCACAATGAAGGATACGAAAATAATATAAAGTAGATCAAGTTTTTGAAAGAGAGGAGTACGAACAACACATGAAAAAAATGAAATAAAATACGGACGGATAAATAGTTATCAAAAATGAAAACATTAAAAACGAAATAAGATAAATAAATAATATAAATTAATGAAAAATGAATAATATTATTAATTATTTAATATATTATAATTTAATATATTATAATTTATTATATAATATTTATTATATTAAGTAAAGACCAGTCACGTAACGTCCTTACCAGTTTGCGAAGAAGGCCGCGATATTCAAATTTTAGCCAAATGTAAGGACCAGGAACGATATTGAAGTTGGAACATGTTTCCACTTAATTGCAACAAGTTCCAACAATGATAGCTCCTTTGGGGGGGAAAGAGAAGGCAATCTGCACGTCAATCTATTAGTTGCAAGAATTCAACGATTTTGTTGCAAGTTGTTGCAACCTCTGCTACTTGGGTTGTAGGTCAGAGGCTTACGTACACTTGAAAAATTCTTTCATCTCAAACGTAACTGGACCTCGTTCGCTTAGGCAGTGTTCGATATTGGCAACGGCCAGCGACCATCGTTGGACTAGAACCAGTTCCTGACTCCTGGCAGGAGTCAGCGACACGTTCCGCAACTAGAGGACCTTGCTATTCGAGCAAGGACATCCCAGACTCACTGCCCCACTCTCAATTTAATTTCAATTGTAGCGCCGCTGGACCGGAATTCGTCCACTAGTCGCCTTTTTATGGTCTTATTTTGTTCTGCTTTAATCACTACTGAGATAGTTTCCTGCTTGTTTATAAACGCACGTGCCGTTTTTCCTCGTATCTGTCGCTTCAGAAAACTATTCCACAGCAATTTAAAAGCTTTAAATGTCACAAAGGAATAATTAATTACCTACGGCGTAATTTAAAATCATAAATTCCTCTAGGAGGAAAAATGTAAACTTTAGTGAATGGGCGAAAATTCAAAATAGGGGACATTTCAGGGTGAAAAAAGCTGAAAAGTCAAGTTAATCATTTCCCCTGGAGGTTGTGTTCTCTTAATTATGGAAGATTTCTGCGATCTAAAAATGTATATGGCCCCAATGTTCAGATTTTTTTTTTTTTCTTACGCAGTTTTCCTTATATAATCAAATTTCAGCTATTTGTGACAGTCGTCAGTTCCGAAACAAAAACGGAGCACGAGCCGCCATTTTTGGAAACGAACAAATGAGTACCAGACTCCTATAGCTTGGCTCATACCCTTTAACAAATGGCATGCATGATTTCAATGAAAAACATTTCTGAATGAAAAGAACAAGCATGGCGGTCGTGAGTTCCTAAGTGAACAGAAGTATTACTTGTAAAGTGATGTTATTACGATTCACCAAAAACTTCAACCTGGTAATGACGAATACTTCTTTTCACCTCAGGGCATCCTTAGGCAACACTGACATCGACCGGATTACGTTTGTGCTACTCACACGCTTTCTGATATGAGCATTTATCT